GCGGCTTGAGATTCTCAATATCAAAGCAAGACGGAAGTGGGAACTCATAACCAGAACCAGATGACGCACGGGAGGAATCGTCAGGCTCTTGTTCCGAACTGGAACTCGCACTGCCTTCATCGTTCGCACTGACTTCATCAGGAGGGGGAGTCGGAGGCGGTTGACTGGAACTCGTACTGGAAATCGAGCTGGAAGATTCCGCCTTGTAAGAGGAACCAGACGATTCGTCACTGTTCCAGCCGTCCAAGCCCAACACAACTTGTCGCTGAGGTAGTTCCTCCGGAGGATCCATCAGCGCAGCTTCACGAAGCCGGTCAGGAATCTCAACATCATGTCCCATGCGAAGTAACAGCTGTGTAGCCCAACCATGACGACGAAGTGCCCAAGAAGGGGAGTTCACGGCCCTGTTGCCTTGCTTCCGCTTGCGAATTGGCACCACCCTGTGCTTGAGTCGTTTCTTCAAGCCATCGACGGCAGACCTGGAATAAGGGACCAAGCCTCTTTCAATTCGAAGACGATTGAGAGATTGCATCGCCATTGTAACGCTCATGCTCTTCCGTTCAATACAGTTGGCAATGAAGACGGCATCAAACGAGTCATTTGGGATGATGACGGGCTTGAGTCCAGCATGAACCCGCTGGCCAGTATACACAATGTGCTGCTCGCAGCAGTGATGCAAGTCAGTGAAGACGTCAGCATACTTGGTCTGGTTGCTCTCTTCGTACAAGTCTTTGCGGATCTTGACTTGCGTGCCGTTGATGCCGATCCATGGAGTCTCTTCCGTGTCCTCGTGGAATGCATACTTGTAAGCATAAAGATATGCAATAGCCATCTTCTTCGCCCTCTCCTCTGGCAATATCTGCGCCGAAGCAATCTGACGTCTTCGTCAGGCTTGAGGCGATCTGCCAATGACCGGAGGGGCTCCTCCTCATCGGAGGAAAGTTCTGCAAGCCAAGCATGATGAGAACGACAGGTTGGACTCATCCCCAAAGCTTCAGCCACATCACTCGCACGCTTGACACACCTTGCTAATGCTTCCTCAGGAGTTGCAGGAGTGACAGTCTTTTTCTTTCGAGCCATCTCAGAGGCAGAGTAATTCTTTCGCCCTTTCCTTTGGTTGAGTGTACCACTGTGGCGGCGGTTCTTCTTGCTCTTGCGTTTGGATGGAGCCATGGTGGTGGTTGAAGCTGCAGTTTCGAGGTGTTGCGCAAGCATCCAAATCAACGACGGAGTCAGCAAGGGTGGACAGAACGAAGAATCTGACAAGACGTTCAGGAGCGACGGCGAGGAGCGGCGCGATTGATTGGTAACCAAAGAAGCCAGTGGAAGAGACGTTCGCTCGGTGGATCGACGGAGGGAGCGTGGATCGGAAGGAGCCTTGTAAGATGACGTGACAGCGCAAAATAACAGCCCAAGAAGAAGGATCCCAACCAAACGACGGCCCAGCGAACGGCCGATCCCCATGGTCATCGATCGATCGACCGGAAGAAAGATAATGAAGAAGAAGAGCCATTTGGTCGCTGCAGAGGTTTGCTGTTTCGATAGTCAAAATAATGAGATGGCATCTGACTGAACTGAACTGAAGACGTCTCCGACTGACTGACTGATTCGGATGCTGTCGATCGCGATCTTTGTCAGTTGAATCCAGGAGGTTCGTCCTCTCTTACTGAATCTTGCATCAATCCCCATGGTCCCAAATATCGATCCCATCTGATAAAGAGGCAAGCCATCATTGTGGAATTTCAATCGGATGTCTTGTGAGAGGAGAGGTTGACATTCAACATGGTCGCTGATTGGTTTCGCGGAACGAAAGGATGTGAGCAACATGGGCTTTCACTGACAAACATGGTCGTGAAACTTGTTGTGCGATTGATTTCTGGTGCAACGGCTAAATCCAAACAGTGAAAGACGGTCTGTGACTGGAGAGCCAGCCATCTAGTTTAAAACTAACCTCACATTTTGCGCTCACATTTTGGTATTTCAGTTGAAAATCAGCGAGTTGACCCATTTCAACACTGGGGAGGCGTTGTTCATGACCAGAAAGTGCCCAACCCATGGAAAAATAATATTCGCTCCCTTACTTTATTCATAGAGGCATGGGAGCGCACATGATTTTTCCCATTTTGACCATGTTCTCGAGGAGCTAGAGGCCTCCCCAATTTCGATTCCGTACTGAAGCAACAGTACGGTAGCCAGTACCTGGTACCGTATCTTTTCTCGGAGAGCACTCTTGATCGGATTTGCAAATTAGACAGCTAAGCTATTTGAGTACTGTAGATACTACGGATTCGGGAAGAACTGTCCTTTTCCAGGCCCGGAAGCGGATTTGCCACCCTCCCAAGCCAATTTCACCAGACCGGAAGGCGATTTTCCTTGAGCTTTACTTAAGGAACATTCCCTGTTTAAGGATAGAGTCAGCGGAGAAAGATCACAGGCGATTTTGACCAGGAGTTCGGATTACGGCTCACGTAGAAACCTACACAATCTATGTACTGGGAAGGAAAATCTCCTTCCGAGAGAGGGAAATCCGCTTCCGAGCATAGAAAAGGACAGTTCTTCCCGAATCCGTAGTACTGGTACCGGTACAAATCCATTCCATGGCAGCAACCCAACAAGCATCCATTCTCATATGCTTCCAGGCTTGGGAGCGAAATCTGAAGTGAGCATTGTGGTGATGCACTCTATTTCGTCTCCATAGAGATGACTTGTTTGGGGTTTGGGGGTGGGGTAGTCCTTTCTAAGGCACGTGCACTACTGTAGAAATTTGTACCAAGTTTTAATGATGCAACCACACGGTGGACAACAACGGATGCCGATACACATAAAAAGACTTAAGACCAAATACCAGTCACACATTCAAGTTCCTCCCAAATCCCAAATGTAATTAACACGTGTTAACGGTTCGGCACGGTAACCACGTTGCCAAGTGGATCCTATTAATAGGAAAAACGGATGGAGGCTTGACAATGGTGCTTTTCGGCTGTTCGACTGGTAACACCAGAGGCTGTTTTTTGTTATTTGAGTCTGAAGGCTTCTATCACACACTCATGCAGTGGGGTGGATACCCTTGGATAGTCGGTTGGCCGAGTACGGAGCGAGTTTCGGCCTTTTGGTCGTAGTCAGTCGGCTTCTTTTCAATCTTTCTCCCACACATCTCACGGAGATTAGTACATGTAGTGTCCCATCTCCACATGTTCAAGCCTTTTTTGTAGTACTGGTCCACATAATTATTGTCACAATTTCTTTAAGCTATCATTGATGGGATTGCTTTTGGCAGCATGCTGGATAGTGGGAGTGGCTAATGGTCAGCTACCATGACCGAAGCGTTGGATCCCTCTCAATCTTCACAATGGTGGAGGAGGAATCAATCGGCCGATCGACTATCATCACGTGGGTTATTATTGAAGGTACAGCACTGACTTCTCTTCCTCATTGAATTTAATCCAAGCTGGAACGTCAATAGTGACGCTTTTTTGATTGGTCGAACGAGTTGATCGGCCAAACCTCTACCGTTTCAAGGCTCAGTCATTTGGAGCGTCTCCGGTGCAGAAGTGAAAGCCATCCTCATTGCAATCATACCAGCTTGGGAAGGTTTTCTTTTCTCGGCCCATGATGAATTTTGGAGAAGAGCAAGGGTAATGCACCAGTTGTCTGCAGTTTCAGAAGAGCAGAGAAATCCCCATATATATTTCTTACTTTCTATTCTCTTACTGCACTGCCAACAGCCAAGGAAACATCAGTGTCGAGTCGATCGCTCTGGATACTTGAATAGGAGAGGCTGCTTTGGTCGCTACCGGTACAGCCTCTGTTACTCCAGCTCTATCTCCAGGCAACACCGTCGTCGAGTCATTCAAACGTAACAATCAACCGGAAGAAGCTACCTGACAATGCACACACACAAAGGCCGTATCCACAGCTGCAACACTAATATTCCACATTTTGGTATGGCTATACATTAGACAAGAAGAATTCTTCCAACAGCAACTGACTGGGGTACTAATCTTCGACCGGTCAACAACAACCAACACCGGAGATAGGAGACACGGTGATCGATTTGAAGTGTCAGCCACAAGATCCAACCATCACACACCATTCGTTTAGTTTTCCACCCATGCTATTCCAGGCCGCATTCCGACAAGGCCTGAGGTATCTGGCAATAGACTGACTGGGGTAATCTTCCATGGAGGTGTGTGTTAATTGTACTATCTGACGTTGCATCCACCATCAACTCATGGGCAAGGAAGTGAATCTTGTCTTGTTCACAAGGGAAAGATAAAGAGCAAATAGGTAGAGATATTGTTAGTAGTGCAACAGAATGGAACAGCCCTTCAAGAGGAACAGCAAATACGAGTTGGTGGCGTGCCTTATGCCTCGCCAACAGCCATGGCTGATTGTTGCTTCCGCGACACATGAATCTTCTCCTGTGCAAGCATACCAGCATCTTTTCCTGCGTACAGAGGGACTGTCGAAAATGGGTTTTTCATAGTGCCACGGTGAGCGTGGAATGACTGGATTGATGGGTCGATCGTTCTTCGGCTCTCCTAGTTGGAGGCAACCGTCGCTGATTGTTGCTAGTGGCACCAACGATGGCGCTGTTGATGCCGTGTGGAGGAAGAGAGTACTGATAGTAATGGGTTTATCTATAGAGGAATACCCGGTAGCGCCATGGTGGTCATTCAAGCATTCAAGAGCGGATAATACATGCAATGCTCATGAAAACTTTTATTTACCTCGGCAGGTTAACTGCCTGAGTCCTCTACCCCTTTTTCCCTATTCCGGTGAAGCCAAAGTATAAGGATAGAGATAGTCATGAGCCAACAAAACTGAACATTGATGGTTCAATACAAGTTAGGGGTTGGAATAAATCATTAATATTTAAGGTTAGTGCAATCATCACAACAGCACAATAAGCCAACAGGAGCTGTAAAGGTTAGAGTTACAATAAGGGAATGGCAGCTGGTAAATTATAGAGTAGCGGGCGGCAACACACGACGTAGTCGGGTGTTGTCGCCAGGGCTAGCTTAATAAAAAGAAGGTTGCAATGAGGGAATGAATGATACCGGGCGGCAACACACGACGTAGTCGGGTGTTGTCGCCAGGGCTAGCTTGAAAGATGGGTGCAATCCGAACATAATCCTCCTTCTTCTATCTGTCTTTCTGCCGAGGTATCGCAGCTCCCGCTGACTTAGATAAGCCTGCAGGCTGGTTTTACTTTAGGTGCCATTGAGCGTGGAGACGACCTAGCTAGCTAGAAGGCTCCAAATTTTAAAACATCAAGATCACTCAATGCAGGAGCTCGTGTATTCTCGTCTTGAATCGGAATGACAGCTGGCTTCACCGAGATTGATGCACCAAGAGCGGGGACCACTTGCTGGCCGGCAACCCTTATGGGAGCCAACAAATCTGCAAAGTAAAAAGGAATCACATCTTCGTCCACCCTCTGGCGAACATACCAAGCAATTTCCTTCCTCGCAGTTTCTGACAGAGCGGCTTTATGCTTGGTGTACTTTTCCGAAGCTACATCAACCTTGTTCGCAATCAGATCTTGCATGATTTGAGCCTTCACTTCAGATTCTCTGGCGGCCGCTGCTGCCTGCTGGGCGACCGTCAACCCTGCTGCGAATTGATTGGTGACCGTTACCGATCCTCCCAATTGCTGCGGCAATGTTGCCATCGCATGGGCTCTCGACGACAAGCCATAATAGCTCCTGTGTCGATTTCCTTCGAGGTGTTCAAACTGAACAACACCAATGGGCAGTTGATGAGCATTGTTGTCCACAACAACGACCCCTCCTCCTCCTCGTAGAATAGCCCTCCTCCGTAGAGCAGCCCTCCTCGGAAGTCCAAGTGTATGTCCATTAGGTGGACTAGTAGGCTGTTGATACCATTTGCTTCGCCCTGGCGTAGGTGACTTTGCATGCTGGTTGCTGGTATCAACTGCTGATCCATCGATAAATGTTCCCTGAGATATTGGCTTGGAATCTCCTGGAGTGCCCGCTATGCCATGGTATGGCACTTGATACTCTCCGGATGGTGATGCTGCTCCACACTGACTGGTGTGCTGGTGCACTTTGTTGGAATTGACAGCTTGTGAATCTCCACTGAGTGCCTGTAGCATCCCTTGTAGGAAACTGGTATTGAATGCTGCAGTATTTGGCTTTGTATTTCCTTGTTGTGACCCACTTGCTGTGCCCTTGCATTGCACATCATTTGTGCAGGTGCGCTGCGGCGCTTGGTTGGAATTGACTGCTTGTGAATCTCCAGTTAACCCCTGACGCAGCCCTTGTAAGAAGCCGATATTGAAATCAGAGTTATTTGGCCCCATTGCTCCTTGCTGTGACCCACCTGCCATGCAAAGGTGTGACATTTGACCTCCTCCCAATGCTTTTGCTGCTGCTACACTTTGCACATCCATTGAGCTGGTGTGTGGCGGCGCTTGGTTGGAATTGACAGCTGTTAAATCTTCGGAACATGCCTGCAACACTGCTTGTTGGAAATTGGTATTGAACTCTGAGTCCTTTGGCTTGGCATCTCCTTCCAGTGACCCACATGCTATGCTATTCCACGCTTCTGGAGATGCCACCGCTGCTGCTGCTCCAATGATGCTGCTAGTTCCCTGTTGCGGATTCTTCAGCTTGCCCAATATGCGCACTGCATCAAGATCATCTCGTCTCAAGGCTGCGTGGATGGTTCCATTACCAGTGTCACTACACAATGGTGCATGCAAATTTTGCTTCAGAGTTTGTTGCTGGGGAGTGTTTGACGCATCATCCAACTGGCATGGCTTTGTATTTCCTCCTGGTGCTGTTGTCGCTGGCAATGGTGCTGCTGCTGCGATGGTGCTGCCAACTCCCGGTTGTGGAATTGATAGCATGTCTACCAGACGCACCACATCACGTGGCCCAGTATTTGCACGGGTGGTACCATTACCAATGTCAGACAGTGGTGCTTGGTTTTGTTTCGACTCTTGTTGCTGGTAAGTGCTTGCCACGTTATCTAACTGGCGTGATATTCGGTCTCCTGGCGCGGACGCTATTTGCGGCGGTGACGATGACGCCCCTCCATTTGCTTGCTGGTGTAACTTCATGGTAGTTTCTACAAGGTCCACTATCAATTCATCATCACCGGAAGTTGCAGGATCCGTGGGACCACTACCAGCTGCTTGCATACTTGGCATGGTAGATTGTGGCGGTTGATCCGTTGCCTTTGGCTTGGAATCTTCTTTTGTCGCTGGAGGTTTCTTATCTTCTTCCTGCTTGCCATCCTCTTCCTTCTCCCTAGAGCCAACATTCCGTTCACGCAACTTGTGATGCAGTGCAGGGGGCAAGACCACGACAAATGCCAACATTTTTAGACCATCACCACAAGCGCCTCGGCAGTAACTGGTCGAAACACCGGGGTGCGTGGCAAAATATTCTCCCGGTCCCATGCTCTGTCTGCGTCGCTTCGCAGGATCGAGTCCATCCTTAAGGATAGGGGCGATGTTTTCCGTGTGGGTTCCATGGAAAACCAACCCCAATTTGGCGTCTGGCGGCAATTCTTGGATGGCATCCAGAAACATTTTTTGACGTTCCGAAGAGAGAGTCGTGTTGGGATGAAACGACGGTCGATATCCGATTTCCGACCACATTTCGGCAAACTCTGGAGTCTCACATTGCTTCACGAAGAACTCTTCGATACTGCCTCCGTGTTCCTTGAGTTCCGCAACAGTCTTATAGATGAAAAAGCTCTCGGTATCAATCCATTCACTACCGAACTGGTTTTTTATATGTGCTTGTCTGGCCAAGCGACGCCTCTTGAGCTGTTCCTGCCTCTCCTGGATGGCTGCTGCTGTTGGGGCCTGGCGCTTGGCCGTCTGCAGCGGCTCCTGCTTCTGTTGCTCAATAAGATGCCACATGGCGCGATAATGATGCTGAATCGAATCGAATGAATCGCTGATGTAACAGAAGTGGCTGCTGTTGGGAATTGAGAAAGGTCCCTTCTTCAAACACGGCGGCTTGATCTACCTTGATCTACCGTTGTGAAAGTTTGAGAAAGAGGAAGCGTCCAAACGGGTTGACTGCGTCCTGTATTGATCCTTATTATTGCTTTTCACTCGCTGCTGTCTTCTATCTGATGTGGAAGACTTCTCTTCTAATGGTACCTGGTAGTAGGAAGCGGAAGTCCAGTAACCTTCTCGATACCGGTACTAAAGTAGGTGTCGAGAAGATTGAAGATTCGCACGTCTCCCCCATGGCACAGGTTGTTACGAAAACCGTTATTCGAAAGGCGTCAAAAGCCTGCGCAAACACCGGCTTAAGCTGGCTTATTTCAGGCTTTATAAAATAAGCCAGTGGAGCTGTGATACCTCGGCAGAACATTAGATAGGAGAAGGAGGATCATGTTTGACATTGCACCCTTCTTTCAAGCTAGCTAGCCCTGGCCACAACACCTGACTGCGTTGTGTGTTGCTGCCCGGTACCATTCCCTCATTATAACCTTCTTTTTTATTAAGCTAGCCATGTGTTGCCGCCCGCTAATCCATAATTTACAGCTGCCATTCACTTATTGTAACAACTCAAACCAATACAGCTCCTGCTACTAGCTGATTATCATGGTCTTTCTTGGTTGATTGTTCTGGAGAACAAAATCTTCCCGGAAGAGATAGAATAATGATGTTTGATGAGCTGCCTCTATAGGTACCACTGTACCCGTAGAACTTCTGCCAAGATAGATCACTGAGGCGAGCACTGCAAGATCATCAGATCCAAAAGCAAGCAAGGAGAAGTAGCTGAGCTCTGATGAGCTGCCCTCTTCATACGGAGTAGGTATTCATACCACCGAATAGAACCTCATCAGATCCAAAAGACTGCTCTGTCATTGGCTGTTGGTGATTTCATGGCTACGACTGTACCTGGCAGCAATTTCGTCATCAAGCGAGGATCCATGCATTCTCGGCTTGGAATTTCTCCTAACTAAGCCCGTGCATCGTTGCATCGTTGCATTGTGCAGGGTGCAGGACGCAACTCCACTTTGCTAGTTTGATTCAACGATCAAACAGGAATACAATGGAACTGCTCTCCCACCAAAAGAGGTTCCGCCAAGAGCCAACCACGAGCCAAGGTCGGCACTCCCATCTCCCATCGCAACATCGCAACTCCAATCCCACTCTCACAGTGCCAGTAAAGATGGGCGTTTGTAGGTGACCTACACTGGTGCATACATGTTGGGAAGGGAAGAGTTCACGGATACGCTTGGCTCTTGCTTTGAAATAAGTGTCTGTGCATTGTTTTTTGCATGTCCACAAGGTAGCCACCGATATGGACACCGGTACATGTATTAATAGCCAAGTGATGGGGGATCTGCATCTCTCATTTCGTCTCACAAAATCAGCCAAGAAACATCAAAAAGAAAGACGAAACAACTATGTCCCTCGCCATGTACAACAGCAACACCCTTGCCAACAGCAGAGCAGATCCCCCGGGTGACTACGCACGATCCATGAGTGTCAGGTCGCTTGGATCGGAGGCCTCTGCCGACACTGACCAGACCAGCAAGGATGATTTTGAAGGTGCCCCTGGCCTTTACAAGCGATCTGTGAGCACAAAGAAAATTGGGGTTTCAATTCGACACATCGATGTCCCGAACGAGGAGATTGCCCAGATTGCCGAGAAAGAATGCGACACTCCCGGCCTCTACAAGCGATCTAAGAGCACCAAATGGACTGCTGCATCCACGCGCAACATTGACATCTCGAAGGCTGAGGTTCTCACCAGTGTGAACGACGAAGCCGAGCCAATCGCCAGGAAACATGGCCAACCAACCGTACGATTTACCCTAGAGAGCAACTAGTTAGAGCGTGGCACCAGCGATCTGCCTGTGCAAGCATTCCGGAACGTATGTCTTGCAGTGTACTATAGAAAAAGCGAGGACACATCGCATAAACTGAAAAAACACAGAAACACTACTTTAAAAGTATTCATTCGACAGAACCTTACAGCAATCCACAAGTAGATTGTGTTGTAGAACAGAACTCAATTTTCTCCGACAATAGCACGCCCCAGACAGCACAAGCAATCCACCTTGTAGGTACTCATCAATCTCCCGTAGAAGCCTCAGCAGCGGTTGCTTCAGGGGCCGGAGCAGGTGCTTCAGCAGCCGATTCACCCGCGGGTGGAGCTTCTTCAGCAGGCTTGCTCTCGTCGTCCGCAGTTGCTTCTCCTGGAGCGGCAGCAGTATCATCGGCCGCAGGTTCTGTTTCCATGGCGTCCTCTGCTGCTGGGCTTTGCTCGTCGCCTTCTGCTCCATGCTCTGCAACTCCTGTAACACGGCTAACCTTGTCAAGGCCTTTATTGCTCTTGTACAAGGCAATCGCCTTTCTCAGGTCCTTGGCATCGTAGTCTTCCTGGTCATCATCATCGTACACAATGTGCCAGAGATCCTCATCTTTTTTACCAGTTGGTTGTATGTACTTCTTGATGGTTCCAAAGTAGACTTCATCCCCAAAGTATTTCGCGATCCGTAGCCCCACATGGGAGATTGGATTTTGCTTTTTGGCGGTGGTTTTGGCTTTGGCAACTTTGGTGGGTGGGGCGCTTTTGCTGGGCGCAGCGTTTCTCTTTCGTGCACTATTTGTCTTATTTCGCTCTTCTGCTGGGGTTTCGGCATACTTTTTCACCTCTTCGCTCGTTTGCACTAGAAGCTTCGCCGTATCGCTTGCTTGTTCGACTTTCTTCTTGTTCTTCTCGGCTACTGCTTCGGTCAATTCTTCCTGGTTGTCCTCTCCAACTTCCTTGTACAAAACCAGCCCATCTTCGGACATGGAGGCGACGAGATAAAACGTTTAGAATACACTTCCATACGGCAACCAAAAGTGGAATCAAAATATTTCAGAATGATGCACGTACCGTAGAGTCCCGTAATGGTCAAGTGCTCCGTGTCGCCGTCATCATATCGCACATAGAACCAATCCTTGTCCAGAGTATCGGCATCAGCGACGGCAGCAATCGATCCACGGAATATCTTGTCCTCCGACCTGATTTTGAATTTCTTTGCCACTCGTTGTCCCACAATTTCTTCGCGAATCTTGTCGTCGTCACTTTTCAGAGCTTGCCCGGCCGTTGTTTTTTCATCAATGACCTGTCCAATGCCGTAGTGGGAGAGATGCTTGTGTTTGGCGAGTTCGACACCCTTCCTGGCATCCACAGGTACGTAAGAGGAAAGAATACCATTGTGGTCCGTCTCCAGTAGACGCGCAATGACATCTCCGTCTCCTCCAGTCAAGCAAATGGTGAACAATAGATTATCCGAATCCTTTTCACTCTCCTTCTCCTCAGTAGTCTGTTTGTTGTCGTCATCTTTGTCCTTTCCGTTTTCTCCTTCCACTTCCATGGCATCCTTGCTCTTTTCGTTCGTAGTGGTGCCTTTTGGTGCGTTCTCCTTGTCTTGGAGCACCATCTTTCTGAATTCAGCGACGGCACCCCAGCACACCTCTGCCATGGCCTTTATCCCCGTTGTGATCATGGCGCTCTTGGTATCGTTGGCAAACAAGGGCAGTGGATCTGTGCTAGCAATGGCCTCACCAATCATTTTGTTCATTTCTTCCTGTGCAATAAAGGGTAGTGCTCCCGTGTAATCATGTAGTGCACGAAAGCTGGCCGCAAATCCAGGATAAATACCACCCCCCACAATATTTCCCTTGGCATCGGCACCCGTGTAGGTCATGGCGGTTCCTCCATCAATCACCATGAGAGGATAGGGGTAAAATTTGGAGGCCGCCTTGATATTGGCCAAGCGATCAATCCCCATGCCTTCGTAGGCACCCTGTTCTTTCGAAAAAAAGTCGGATGACTGAAGGCGATACATTCGACAGGGAATGTCACGAAACAAGAATTCGCAGCCAGCTTCATTGTCGGGGTTGGTCGAGACGACGTACACGCTGAGAAGAGGTACTCGACGAGCCGAAGAAGCCTTGGCTGCTTGTGCCTTGTCGGAAGCGGCTGTCTGCGAGCCAAAGACAAGTTCATGGCCTCCACCAGGCAAATATCGCTCGAGGACACTGCAGGGATCACCAGCGGCAATTTCATCACTGTTCAATGCAGGGGTTCTGTTACCAACAACAGTTTTAAAAAATGACAAATAAATGACACGGTGAGATACTAGTGATGTGGGTATACGGCAAGGAATGAATCTGCCCTCTCTGCTATCCATACCCATTAACCAACCAAAGCAATGACAGCCACTCAATCAGTAGTCCGTCGTTCATTAACCAGCTTACCTCCAGAACAACTGTGGCAAAAAGTGGCCATTAATCCCCAAGTGGAGAGCCCACTGAAGATGAGTGTTACCACAGACAATGCTCAGCACTTGATCTTCGTGCTTGGATGGACAAGCATTGGGCCATACGGCATCTGTGATCTTGGCGAGATCCCGGTGCTCGCTCACCGCTACGTTATTCACCGTGGCCATGGTCCCTCACTCCAGTTAGTTACTTTGTTTCGATTGCAGTCTAATAGTAATGGTTCGGTACTGAAGCTTATTGCAGGTTGTGGTTCGGTGTCGGTGGCGGATGCATTGGATCTATCGAAATCTTTGGCGCCAAGAATCCTCGAGCCTCGATGGCCAGTACTAATTCTACATACGGCAACTTTTTTCACAAATTCGAAAACGGGTTGAAGTTTTACATGTAGACCGTTCGATTCGATCCGAGTTTCCATCGATTTGAATGTTTTCATCTCAGGCCACTTTTATTAGCTTAGCTGGCTAGCTTGCCACCAGTAGGATCGTGACTCGACTCTCACTCGACTGAGGACTAATTGAGAAAAGCACACAATCACAACAACGAACAACGGCAAGTAGCTGTGCAGGTCGTCGTCTTCTTCCTTCCAAGGCCCTCGATGCCTGATGATGATAATAGCTTGCTAGAAGTTGACTGAAGGATCCTTCTGTTGTGTTTGTGCAGGGTGGAATATCTTTGAGTAAATCCCGACAACGAACAAGATGAGTGAAATTCGAGATGCTGAATCCTCCTCAAAAGAGGGCCGAGATTCCATGTCGTTTGCACAGCTCATGGAACTGAGAGAACGAGAATCCACTCCCACAGACCCAAGTCGATGGTCCATTTCCTACGAGCAGCTCTTGGAGATCGACAACTTGGTTCGCAAAAAGAGTCGATTTCGGGGCGTGCCATCGGCCATGACCATGAGAGACGTTAACGAAACCATCATCGTTCCTCGTTGTCGAGCAACCAAAACATCCTATGCGGCCAGTCTCAATCCAAAGGGTTTGGAAATGGATTCCTTCGTATCACACTGTTGGTGCGTAAGAACTGCACTGCTCCTGTATGCGTACTGACTGGAAATGGTAGCGTCTGATATCCACCAACCGTGCTTCTCCACAGGGACGAACCCTTCTGCGAATTTGTGCAATCCATTCGAGAAGCTTTTCAGTTCTTCCCGCGCAAACCCAATTTGTGGATTTGTGCCTTTGCTCTGCGGCAAGGGGATCCAGAGGATATTTCACAGCAAATTGGACAGGAAGCACTCGAAGATGCACCCTTTGTCAAGGCACTGCAGGAAGCCAAACTATTTGTAGTAGTTCGGAACCGACGCAAAGATCTCTATAGTCGCATTTGGTAAGGTTTCATCCGAATTCCACTCAATTCCATGAATCAATCAATCCGAATTGGCATTCCACTCACAGCCTTTAGGTGTATTTGCGAGCTCATTTATGCTGTGGAAGAAGGTTTTACCCATGAAGCCAACAAAACACTTGTGATTGGACCGGACCAGTTTCGGAACTTGAAAACTAGCTGCTTGCAGGCAGAAGCACATGACCCGGAAGATAAGGAGCGTATTCTGCGACTACTCAGAGAGAAGCACAATCCGGAAGAGATTGATGAATTGGTTTGGCTCTACCGCATGCATGGATGTGATGAAACCAAAGATGAAAGCGACAATCATCTAAAGCATTCCTGGAGCCGCATCGCCACCCTTTTGACACGACTGTTTGTGATGATACTATCCAACATCCTGTGGTTTGCTTCGGAAGGAATCCAAACATTACTATCACGCATCAAGACAAGTCCCCACATGACATTTGTTTACACTGCTGGCATGGACACGCGAAAGACTCTGGCAGAAGTAGATGCCTGGAAGTCCATGGCATGGGAAAAGATACAGAAATACAATGAAGCCAGTCAATTTGAGCTTGACTTTGGAAAGGGAAACATCCATGAAGCCATGAGGCGATTGGAAAGGGCCAAACCCGACAACAACAAGGAAGCGGAAGCCTATGCCTCAAAGTGGGCCAAGGCTCTCAACCCAAAAAATGTCAATCAACAAGGACTGGTAGAAGCTAATCAGCTTGATGCAGACAGAAAGGTCTGTTTGGAGTTCCTGTATAGACTCTACAATTGTTGTTGTGTTCCGGAAACAAAAGAACTGGATCCTGCCAAAGTCACCAGCGTCGTGCAGGAATTTGACCGAGGGCGGCGAATTGTGGATATGCTCTATCTATTGTTGGTGTTTGACAGAGCCAAATCAATCCACTTCAACAAGGACCATCAGACAGGAACCAGGGGAATGCATTGGTATGCCAAGAAGCACCAAAACAGGCCTGAATGGAAAGCAAGCAACCCAAGTGGCGCCACAATCAACAAGCGTCTTGTCTGGTTTGTGGATGATCATTTGAAAATCGCATCCAAGCATGGCCCCAATGGATGGCTGTGGGAGCTCATGGAACCAGCGGAAAGGGAGGCAGATGAAAACGACTCGTAGATGACTTGGTTGTCTTAGCTACCCAGGTTCACTCTTGGGACTGTGATATGATCCAAGGACAGCAATGCTCATTGTACCGTGCAGTCGTACACTAGTCAAAGTTTTATCCTATCGGTACCGTACTCGCAAGCTCCGTGAACGTCCAAGAGGCAGCTTCTGTGGGATGGATCGAGCGTTGATGAGGAAAAGCGAGAGCGAAGGGACGGTACCGGTACCTGGTACCGGTACCAGGTACTGTACAAGGACCATCCTCGCGACACATGTCCATTTAACAGCTCTGCCGAGTGTTTAGGCATCCACGTCTTCGATTGATTTCTCGGAAGCATTTTGGATCCCCACTCCAAGCGGAGTGCACGTCTTTCCTCTGTCTGGTGCGGTACTTTCTTCTCTTCCTGCCGTTGACTTGGATAATGGGAACAAACACTACTAGCTAGTACCTTCACTCACTTCTCATATTCTTTGCCAACTTCGATTTGATCTGTGAGCAAAGTTTCCGAAGGTTTGGATTTGTTGATTGAGTAACAAGCCCTTTCAATCGAAAACGACAGCATTGGAACTATGGTTGGTTTTGGAAAATCCATCGTCTTGGCCGGGCGGGACTGTTGGAAACAAGCGTACTTGGACTACGATGGTTTGAAGGAGATTGTCGAGGAGATTGAGATCTGTTTGACCGAGCGAAAATCAGCCCGATTTGGTGACAATCTGACGCCCTCAGCTGCGGGAAACAATGAAAACGAATCTGATCCTACTATCGAGCTTAAGCAAAGATTCTTTCTGGAATTGACGCGGGAAATTGAAAAGATCTCACTCTTCACCCTTCAGCAGCAAGGAAAGCTAGCTGATGCCATTGGAGCTCTTCGATTCGAGGAATCATCGGTGAATCTCTTTGATACGACAAATCTATTGCAACAGGGAGATGATGACTCGGTGGCCCGTAGCAACGATCAATTGGATCATTATGCCGTGCAGGGAGTCCAATTGCTGCACCTGCTCAAGTTCATTTGCATCAACTCAATTGGAATCCGAAAGATCCTCAAAAAGTACAACAAAGCATTCTCCAAATTCGACGAACCTCAACACTATCATTTTGCAGGTGATCACCTCCAGCAACTGGCATTCTCTCCCAGTATCTGTGCCATCGAATCGTCTCTCCAATACGCCTTGGCAGAATGCTACCAACATGGTCAAACCACGGCTGTAACCGATCACATGATCTTGTTGCGAATCAACCGATTTCATTGTGTCATGGGCTGCTGCCAAACCCTCAGGAGAAATGCAGAGATTCTGCAACGCCCCTTCTGGGACTTTATGTCGCGCAAGTCCATGATTGTGGCGGGAGCGGATCTTGGTGGAATGGGTGACAGCGGGAAGAAAGCCTTAAAATGGCTCATTCGGTTGCACCCCGATCAACTATTGTCCATGAGTGGGGAACAGCTGGATCGGCTCTGGAGTCAATGGTCCGGTGGGCCCACGGTTGTGAAGAAGGTGACCGAAGATTATCGCAGTGCCATGATACCACAACTTATTTTGGATACCATCCGAGAAGGATACCTCGAGGACGAGCGGTCCGAGAAAGGAGATATACCAACGTCAATCAGCATTGCAGACGGCAAAAAGTCGATGTGGGGAGGAGTCAACACTGCAAGCCTGACGCTCAATCTGTTTTCAACATTGTTGTACACGGTGAACTACTACATTATTGCCCCCACAGGTCCGTTCTCATACCGTGCTGGAATCACCAATGACTATGTTATATGCTTTGTTCTCGAGGTGCTCACGCCTGTTCCTGTTTGCAGCCAATCACTATGCCATCAAGCTGGGTGCTGATGGTGCCTATGGGTCCACCCTTATTGGTGCTTCCAGCTTTTCTGCCATCTTTGCGGCCTTCTTCTACTCCATGTGGTATACCAAGTCAACCTTCCGGTCATCACTCATGTTTTCAGCCATCTGCCCCCTAGTCGGAAACTTTTTCTATGCTCTGGCAATCTCCTACAGGTCCCTGCCCATGGCGATATCAGGGCGTATCCTGTGTGGTTTTGGGTCTGCTGAAGTTGTCAATCGTCAGCTGATCTCAGCATGTGTTGATTTCGAAGGCATGACCAAGGCAAGTGCTTTCTTCGTGGCAGCTGGAGCCATTGGAATGAGCTTTGGTCCGTTGCTTGCTGCCGTCCTTGAGATGACAACAGGGAGCGATTCAGATATAGATATTCCCTTGCCGTTTGTACCAGCCGGAGGAATCATATTCAATCACATTACCAGCCCAGGCTATACGATGTGTTTACTTTGGCTCCTTCAGCTATTGGCCCTTCAGGTGTTGTTTCAGGAACCCCAGCGCATCAATAGTGAAGGTGGCGGCAGTGAGCGCACTGCTGGCAGCGACAACTTTGGTTTGACGGATGATTCGGGTGACAGCGTGAGTGATGAAGAATCTCCTATGCTGAAAAACAGTGAAAGTGGGTATGGCTCTGTCCCTATGGCCAAAGGAATGGACAAGATGGAAGCCAAGAGATTCTCTTTGATGGAGGAGGCAGCCATCACCACATCTCTCATCTTTCAGAATCCCGGCCTTCCAGTGACAGTGTTGCTGTTTGGATTTGTGGAGCTGGTTTGTGAGATTCTGATTTCATCTTGCTCCATGGTGACGAGGCGCTACTTTGGATGGCGTGGAGCAGTTGCGGGGTTCCTCATTGGTAGCCTTGGCGCTCTTGCCATCCCTGCCCACTTCGTAGTGGAGAAAGCTTCCCATCACTATTCCGAACGAAAGATCTTGTCGGTACGTTCATACGTGTTTCAACTTGGTGATGGGCATGTTGCAACGACATTTGTGATCTCATGCGTGTCTCGATTGCCGTTAGAAATCGCTTGTATTCATTTTGTTCAGTACGCTCGGAATATTGAATTGGTCCGGCTTGTTTTACGATGTCGAAGGAATGATATCGGCACCGGAAGAACCTCGAAATGCCACCAGTATTGGTGGCGATCAAGCCGTGGCCATTCTTTTGAATGCTCGCGGTGAATTCCCGTACGATTACGGTTCTGGCCCCGCCGTGTACATTGTGTTCTTGTCGGCCATCTTTATGGGTACGATTGTGTTGGAAGGCGTCGACACGAGCATCATGGCCAAGTGCACACCCGCCAAGTTGAATGGGAATTTCTTCAACAGTGGACTGCTGGCCACATTGGTGGGCACGTTAGGCCGTGTGGTGGCCGACAGCATGATTACACTGTGTGCTCTTTTGGACATTCACGTGTTTGTGGACTTTGTCAATGCGACGTTCTTTCCAATTCTCGTTTTGACATTGGCTGGACTGTATATGGTCCAAAAGTTGTACAGCAAGTTGGTCTAGCAAGAAAGCGAGAAGGCAAGACAAGTCAAGTCTACAGTTAGAAAAGCAAGAAGGATATTACTGGCTAGATTGTATATCAGACCACCGCAATAATGTGTGATTGATTGATTGATTGATTGATTGATCGTGGGCTAGTTAGACTCAACTAAAATATACCTACGACGACAAGATCAAGTTCTCTTTGGGCGTCGGTGGTGGATCAATGGTGAAGTATGGATGACTCAATGCCTGCGACGCAGAAAATCGATTGTTGGGGTCTAGCACCATGATGGATCGTAGCAGTGAAATGGCATCTTTGGGTGCGGCGGTAAAGATTTCATCAAAGGGAATAGCGGGTACCGAGTCCCATGTCAATCCTCGACAAGGCAACGGCAGTGTATTGTAGTCGGGCCAATTGGTTTCATTGGGCGTTCCAAAAACGGTGAATATTTTGTCGAGTTGTGCAATGTCTGAATTTTGTCCTGGCAGAAAGGGCCGCCGCAACAAGAGCTCGGCAAAGATGCATCCGACGGACCACATGTCGGCGGCAGACGAGTATTCGTAGGCTCCCTATAATGTAATGTGATGTGATGTACAGCAAAGAATAACGTGGTGAGTTGGATTTCAATAAAGCTTCAATAAACATTCATGTACACAGACATTGCTCAATTTCATCACTAAGATGTATGGTACGTACCATTAACAACTCGGGTGGTTTGTACCACAGTGTGATAGCTTGTGGTGACAGGTGCGTCTTGGGTGTCCCGTACAATCTGGCCAATCCAAAATCTGCCAACTTCATGGTCCCATCTTTGAGAAAGAGCATATCTGATGGATATTATTAGCAGATAAGATAAGATAAGGAAAGGTAGCAGGATAGGCAGCAAGAGAAATAGAAGATCAGCAAGCATTAGAGAGATCGATAGATCGAGTACGTGCATAGGTCAGGATCAGATGGACACAGCAGTATCAGTATTGCTAGCTCGTAGCTAGTCAGCAATTACTTACTATCCGGTTTGAGATCTCTGTGTAGAATCCATCGTTCGTGACAGGCCGCCACGGCCACCAGCAGAGTTCGTATGTGCTGTTTGATATCGGCCATGGACAAGGGAATGGAGAGATTCTTTAAAATCTTTTCGAGATCGGTATGTGCACATTCGTACACCAGCGCCACGGCCATGTCGGGAGTCGCAAATACATCGACCAAGCGAATAATGTTCTCGTGTCGAAAATCGCGCAGCAGCTTGATTTCTCGCACGGCCGTGAAATCGACGCCTTCTTCTTGTTTCTTGGCTTTGATCTTTTTAATGGCTACAATCAGACCCGTGTCCTTTTGTTCCGCCATATAAACTACTCCCCATGTGCCCTGGCCAAGGGCCTTGATCGTCTTGTAGTTGTCCATTAGTGTTATTTAGTTTTGCTTGCTATTGCGACAGGGGTGGAGGGGAGGTAGATACTGCATAAGGCTGCTGAGAGTTGTTGTGTTGTTGGTTGTTGATCGAGGTGTTGTTGCTGCAGTAAACGGAGTGAAGTCTACAAGTCAAACGTGGATACTACGACGTCATGAATCGGACTAAACCAGTCCCTAATTCTACATCAATGACGTCGTTGCCATGCCCTCCAACCGCTCAAGAACTGAACGAAAGAGACCGATGCAAGAATGTCGTGGTGTTGCCATGTCAAGACAACCTTATTCCAAAGGCCAAGAGCAGCTGTGTTCTACGAGAGACCCATCCTCTGCAAAGAAATCAGTTCTCATAGAAGAGAGAAATCGAAAACACAATGCCACGACTTTTCAATCTGCTGCTTCTGCCATCTCTGTGGAGTGTGGGCCAAGCCTTCCTTCCCTTGGCGCCCACCAAGACTGTAACTTCAATCCAGCAACCCCAAAATGTTATTTCAAAGATAATACTCCAGTCGTCAACGGATGCCTCGGATGTTTCCACTCCGGCACCAACGTTGGATGGAGCCCGAGTGCTTCCCTACAAAATAATGAAGGGAGGCTTGAAGGGACACACTGTTGCCGCTGTCTATGCCTTGCTCAACTCGGACTACAAACGCGGGTAAGAAAATATAGGGCTGATTTATTGTTCTGAAAGTTGTCATTGGTGGATGTTTTCTCACATGCCAATTGCTGTTTTCTCTGCCTTTTATTGTCTTGATCACGCCCTGCTGCTTTCGGACTCTTTTCCAAACGACAATACGCACACGATCCTTTTATCATATTATAATATATTACAGCTCCGAAGGTTGGGAATCGGTCGAATTTGTGGGTACCACCATGGATTTGGATGCCACCTTGGAACAACATGTCGAAGAACTCGGAACACAAAAGGTGGCCAATGTCCGAGCCCTCACGTTTGCGATTCCCTCCAGAACCGCCATGGACGATTGGATGAAAAAGTGGAGAAACTCGGCACTCGAAGCAGGAGGTCTCGAGGTGGAAGCACAAGATTATCTGTTTGACGACGAGGATGATGATGATGACGACGGTTTTGATCCGGAAATGCTGGCCGCGGCATCGGCCAAAGCGGCCGAGATTGTCTCTCCCTTTGACCCATCCTCTGCGGCAGATGTCAAGGCTGCTGGCAACGTAGAGTTGACACTGACCATGGAAAACGTAGACAAGGTACTCGACGAAGTACGACCCTATCTGATTGCGGACGGAGGGAACGTTGCAGTTGAGCGCGTAGAACCAGAACAAGGTGCTGTCTACCTCATGTTGGAGGGAGCTTGTGGTAAGTACCCATTATTCTACGTCTACAATTCCAAATAGTTATGGGCGACAACAGCTGTCTCACATTTGGTATTTCTTATGGCACGAAAGGATCGTGCGCCTCGTCTACGGTCACCATGTCCATGGGGATTGAGCGAGTCTTGAAGGAAAACTTTAGTGGATTCAAGGAAGTCATTCAAGTAGAAGATCCTGCCAACGCAGGACCCTCGGAACTGACACTGGAAGCTGTCAAGGAGGAATTCGACCGTCTCTATCCCGCCATTGTGGCCATGGGAGGCGTCTCGGAAATCCTCAACGTAGAACCGGATGTCGGCGTCGTCAACATGAAGTTTCGAGGATCCAACAAGGTTCGACAAGGACTGGAACTTGCCATCTTGGATCTGCCCTTTGTCAATCGAGTCGAATTCGTCATGGGAGAAGACGATTAAAACTTTTAGTAAATAATCATTAGTTACAATGTAGACATTGTACGGTACCGCAGTTGTTGTTGTTTTGTATTGAAGGCCCCGGGGACCGCCGGAGACGGGTCAATCACACATTTAGAGGTACAAGAGTTGCAACTCTTTTGATGACAACTACATGAATATGAAACTAATCCAAGATGCAACCTCCCCAGTCAGCTAGCTAGAGTTGCAACTATTTTAAAATAGGAAATAATAGGGCCACAAAACGTTGAAAAAGAATGTGTCCAACCAGAACAAGGTGCTGTCCACCTCATGTTGGAGGGAGCTTGTGGTAAGTACAAGTATCAGACGTCAACCCATTTTCCAAATAGATGGGCCACAGGAGCTGTCTAACATTTGGTAATTCTCATGGCACCATGGCAAAGGATCCTGCACATTGTCCACCGTCACCATGTCCATCGGGATTGGAGATATTTGACAAGCTGAGGTGACGACATCCTGACGTACCGCGAACAGAATGAGAGTGCCGCATGACCCATGACTCGGCTCAGAACTAGAGTGCCGCATAGGACAACAGAGTTCGGATTTTATTTAATGATTTGACCTCCGGTATTCGGAAAAGAAAGGTTAAAATACGAACCCATTTGATTTTACTTAATGGCTTGTCCTAGCCGGTACTCGGGTCTCTTCTTTCTAAATTCAAGTAACAAACCTCAATGAATCTCATTGTGTTGTACATGTACCCTTTACCGATTGTGTAAATTTGAGACCGTGGTGGCACACCAAAATCCACCAAACCGTTCCGTCTCTAATAATAAACATCAACAATGCCAATGATTTGGTACAACTAATGAACCTCATTGATACTATCAAAGTTCGGTTCATAATACGAACCCTTCGGATTCCCGTTGAAGCAAACTTTAGGATGTCAATGGTACGCACGAATGCATCAGAATCTGTTTACTTACCGTCTGCTCCTCATCTCGTGGGTTGCATTGCTTTGAGAACCGCTTATCCTGAAACCCGAAGCTCTACCGAATTCCCAGGCGACTGATCTCAACTGTCTAAAGCTTTTTGATTTTGGGAATACCGGTTGTCCAACTATTTGGGACAAGCTGACGCAAGACTTCCTCTCATAAAAAACCCGCCTCCTCCTCTAAAAACACACCTCTTTGCGTTTGCGTTCAAAGCACTCGATCTTCGAGCCCATCAGTCAACACACTCACTCTTATTTCAAGTCATCGGATACTGTAACCATGTTTTCCTTTCAGGCAACAGATAAGGCCACCATGAGCGGCGTCGGGATGAGGGAAGGGCGTGCCACAGTGGCAGATCTTCTTCGTGCTGCAGGATCTGGCGGCGCAGCACCTGTCGCGAACCCTTCGTTGCTGTCCAGCATTCACGCAACCAATCTGGCTGCGAGGGCCTTATTGGCATCGTCCCTGAGTGTCGAAGAGAAGGCGTATGTTGCCTCTCGCATGGGCACTTTGGAGCCTCTGCGGCAGCAGAGATCCCTTGATAGTATTCTGGGACAGCAGAGAGCGGCACTTGTGAAGCTTGCAGCGGGCAGGAGGCTCATTGAACAGGCCAAACAGAGTCTGAATCTGGAGGCCACCATGAGAGCGCAGATCACCGCCCCTGCCATCCTTCCAGCCGCGGCACGAACCCCCATCACTCCGTTGCAAGCCCAAGCACCGGTTCTGACTACCCCCAACTCCCCCCTTGCACAACTCAGCCCTCCCCTTGCACAACTCAATCCTCCCCTTGCACAACCCAAGCAGGCACCTCCAAAACCAAAGTTTGAGCCCCTGAAAGTGCTTCCGCAGCAGGACACCAAAGGCAACTTCCCCGTCAAGCTCCATCAGATGCTCTCCGATCTTGAGAAGATCCCTGGAGGGAGTGAGATTGCCTCCTTCCTTCCACACGGAAGGACCTTTGCCATTCACAAGCCCCGCGAGTTCGTCCGCCATGTGATGCCCAAGTACTTCAAGATGGGCCGTTTCAGCAGCTTCCAGAGGCAGCTGAACCTCTATGACTTTCAGAGGATCACGGAAGGCGTTGACAAGGGCGCCTACAGCCATCCCATGTTCCTGTACGGTCAACAGCAAGCGACGCTGTCCATGAAGCGCAACAAGATCAAGGGAGTCAAGAAGGCCAAGGAGGCTGCCCAGAAGGCTGCCGCAGCCAAGCTCGAAGAAGCCTCTGCTTCGAGCCATAATGTCGAAGGGGACGATGACGATTCGGTATGATCATCATTAGTTTGCCCTTGGTACCGGCAGAGGTTGAGTGGACGAGGACAGTGCAGCGGTGACCCACCCGTTGCTTCGCCCCCCAAAGAGCACAGTTTGTAGGGAGGATTTTCATTTCATTCATGTAAAGCATTAAAGTAATCTATTTATCTTATTCCACTTGTCTTCTGTGCTGAATGATCTGATCTTGTATCTTGAGCTAGAAACATGACTTGCCTTCTGTCACAAGCACTGTAAGACCGCAACTTGCAAGCGTCAACTGTGACGATTGAACCACAAGGTAGGACTTGTTGATGCCTGATTTCAACCTTGGGCGTGTTGGAGAAGATCAAAAGGATGGCTGCACGAGTGCACAATCAAAAGTAAGCAATTGCAGTCCACTACTACCAGTAGCCAGGGCCGGCTTAGCTAGCTCCCTCCGTCTCAGCACAGCGTAGCTGAGCTGCTGTTCTCGCAGGCCATCTTGGCAACCTCGCTTAATCACGGACCCCAAGATTGTTCCAGCACACTTGCCACACAGGCGGTACGGTACAGTGTACACCCTTGCTTGAACCCTTGCTCCATGATCACAGGAAGTCGTGTCAATCTGATTGATTCGATTGAATCATTCGAATCGAATCGAATCGGAATCGTTGTTCGTTGGGTGACAATGTCGGAAGGAAAATTCTGCTGTTTGAAATACCTCACCTCCTGATCCTTTTCCGATGCGCAGAAATTGCCGCCAACAGCAGTGCCTCGACGACGAACAATCTCAAAATCTGAAACCCAAAAGATCGAGCAGGAGCCATCAAGCAAAGCACCAGAACCCTCCTCTCCAGGACCGCAACACTGTGAACAATTCGATTATTCAATTGGCTTAGTATTACCGGCACTGACCATGGCCACAGGATGGATGTCCCCCGCTGCGTATGCGAGGCTCCCTCCTCCCCAACAGCAGCATCCCCAACAATTTGCCACATCTCCCATGTTGACCAATGCTGCTGCCCACGACAACAATTCTAATTCCAATGATGTGAATAATAACAATAATAACAACAACAACAACAACAACAACAACAATACCGATGACGACGAGTTGGTGAATGCGATTGAACGGATTTTGTCGGCCGAAGGGAATCGTCGTATTTTGGCCATGTCTCCTTCGGCTTGTATGCACCATCAAACGCAGCAGCAACAACAAACCCATGTGGGACCATTTTTGGAACGCGAATTGACCATTTTGAGTTTACTCTGTACCCAAGTCAGCAATAAACGGAAATCGGTGGAAGGATTTGCCGCCGTGGAAGTGGATCTCTTGACGACGCTCACGGAATTACTGGAAAAACACGTCAATTTGGCCGTCAATGTCGATTTGGTGTCCGAGGCGAGCGCTGTCGTTTCCAAACGAGAAATGAGAATGGAGCAGGTAAGAGAGAATAATGTAATTCTCTGATATTCTGTGCGTCATTTTTACACCATTACATTTTCTCACCACGAATTTTGTGCTTGTTCTTACCAATGACGACATAATATTACAGTGGCTACGACCTGGATCCACCGGCAGCGAACGAGTGGCAGCTCTGAAATTGGGATTGGAAGCGGCGGGCATTCTCCTCTTTGTGGTGACCAGTCCTGGCATTGACGCAAGTGTCGTCTCGGAAGATGCCATTGAAGCCGCCTTTACGTTGCTCCGACACAATCTCGCCAAGAATCTCATTCCAGCCCTCAACAATACGGGTCACCGACTGGCAGCACAGGAAATGGACGAAAAGAAAGGTCTAGGAGCATCGGCACGCAAGAAAAAGCGACGCGCGACCGACGGCGGAGAATCCAATATGC